AGAAAATTTTACAAAAGAGTTATTTCATAAGGAATAAATAATTAATTAATTAAGGTTATGAAATAAATGTCATGATAGGATATTTTTATACCAATAGGCATGATTTATTTTATTATGATATTTATTGTCCATATATAAAGCTTGTAAATTTTGTGAATGTTTTGCATCAAAAGTTTTGAATTTACTAATTTATGAATTATCATAGTATTAATATTATATTATGAAAAGGATATATAATTTATCATCTTATACATATACTCCAAAAGTGAGTGGCAGTCAAATAGTGAAAGTGAGTTCTCGACAAGTAAAATTTGAGAAAATATGAAGGAATATATGATACTCTTGAATATCATTTTAAAGAAAATATTTGTGGATACTATGAGATTATATCATAGGCATAATGTTTTCAATCTTAAAGTTTTCAATTCTATTGAAGACCAATTAAGAACTCTTGACTAAGTATTCTTTTGGAGAATATTAAAGACAAAAGCTAAGGCAAGCAAATTGACATAAAGTGGGCATTGAAAGAGTTAATTTCTATTGAGTATATTGTTGCAAAATCGATGATTTGGTATAATAAGATTGCTAGCTACAGTATTTTAGGATCATAAACTCAAAGGTTTGCATCAAAGTTTGCCTTTTTGATTTCATAACTTTGTGTACATTAAGTTTGTTATATAAAGATATGATTCATTTGAATAACTATAGTATGAACCTATTTCAGTTTTTAAAAAGTATTATGCATTCATTGTAATACATGGAAGGATATTTTTCTTAAAACATAACCATCATGATTCACGTATGATAATTTCTATATAATTTTGAGGAATTTCAAGCTTCAAGTTAAATGACCATATTTATTTGTTGGTGATAGGGATAATCTCTAAAGAGTATATGAGCCAAGTGGGAGAATGTTGGAAAAAAATTATGTGACTCATATAATTCATGTTTGATTTAATTACCCTATTAATCTAATCAATTACTTGATAATAAGGAGCTATTACAGAATAATAATAAGATTTATCAAGAGTCATAGTAAGCATATTTTATTAATTTTTAATTGAGTAACTAATGGAGGGCTATTATAATAATAAGGTAGAGGGTCTCTAGTCTTGTCTATAAAAAATCTTGTGGTATTTCATTGTTTAATAGGTTTAAGTAAGGACAAAGATTAGAAAACCCCCCTCTATTTCTTGAAATATCTAAATAATATACTATATATTTAGTAATTTGGTAATAATGACTACAAGAGGTATGTTTTCACAATTATAAGATATACATTAAGGTTTTACGTTTCTTACAATATATACATATTTGATAATTATCAGCTTAATATTTAAAAAAGATAAATTAATGTATGATATGCATTATAACAAATTTGATAAAATAACAATAAATATTTATTTGTTTGAATTCATGTAGGTTGTCTTGTTAGGCTTTTCTAAATGACCTAAAGACTATCCTATTTATATTAAATAGGATTATATAAAAGTATTGGTCTCACTTATTCTCTAAAAATGTCTGACCTAATGCAGGGATACCTCTCTTAAGCGAGTTAATCTATTTTCATCCCTAAAAAGAAGGAGAAAAATAATAAGTTAGAATAAAATAGTACTTAGATGTGTGAATTAACACTTTAGTCCAAGTAAATAATTTAAAAAAGAATAAATAAATTAATTTTGAAGATATATTTTTTTTTTTATGTTGAACACCTTAATTAATTACAATGTTGTATCTTAATCTATAATTATTTGTTTAAGGTGTTATTTGCACTTTGGGAAAGCTTGACTGAAAATTTACAATTTTTGTCCTTAGCATGTAAACTTAAAATAACTTCTTTCTTGATTAAAAAAAAAAATAGTAGCTCCAAAATAGTCACTTTAATTAATTGTAATAAGAAAATGTTCTTTTTGTTAAACATCATGAAAAGACAATATCATATTTTGAGTAATACTTGCCTATTTAAGGGTTCTTTGTGTTGTTAGAAAGTTTAATGAAAAATGTATAGTTCATGTCTACACCTAATTAAGAAACCAAATCAACTTAAAAACATGTCATTTAATTAATAAGAACTTTAAGTTCTATGCTCTTTAATTTTCATATTCCCTTCACTTGAAATATTCTCACAAAATACTGCACGCTTTAGTTTAGGGTGCCTATTTCCCCCTTAATAGGTTTATCCTAAATAAAAATTTGCCCTTGTACATGAGGATCATTATGGCCAACTCGATGAAAAGGCAATTCTTTTTACTTTTCCTTTTCTTGACTATGTCATGACTTTCCAAGTCTTCAAACAATTACAACAACTTTGCACAATGAATTTGAATGATGGATCAATTGATCTAAAAAATCATCTAGTAGCATTTGAATTGATTCTTTCTTAAAAGGGAGCAACTAGCCCTTTGATGTGTCAGGTTTTTCCTTTCTCTCTCTCTTTCTTTCTCTCTATCTCTCACTCAAGCATGGTATTGTCAAGTGGTTTCAATCTTTTCCTCTAAGATCTATTGATTCTTAGAATGATTTAAGAGAAAAGTTAAGATTGTTTTTGTCACTAGTAAGGAAAATCAAAAGACTAATGTTGACATGAAATATGTTTGTCAAGGGAAAGATGAACCTTTGCAAGAATATATTGTGAGGTTTAACAAAGAAGCAATGTAAGACTCCTCATATTTGGCATCTTAGTGGTTCTACTCCACAACACTTCACACAGAAATACTTCATACAACTTCTCGTTGGTTAAAATCTTTCATCGGTCAGAACCCTCCATACATAACCTTTTCTAAGATACCCAACTACCTTTAGGATCATTAACTATCCTGACAAATCAACACAAAAAAATTTTAGTGTGTTTTGTCCTCATCCACACACTTTTTGGGAATCTTCACAAAAAGTCACTCATCTCTAAATCGCTTCAAGTCAAACATGTTTAACTATAGAGTTCTTAAGTGATGAACTACTGAAAAGTAGACTCGTCTTGTTAGTATAGGCAGTAAAAATTAATTTCCTTAAGTCATCTTCAACTACAAAATCTCATTTATACAAATCTCTAGATTTATTTCATTATGGTACGTTCAAGCTATTACAAGCAAAGCTAGTTGGAAATTCACATCCCTAGATTGTGTTGATGCTAACAAAGGATGGTGTGGGAAGGAACATTTTTCCACACCTCCATCTCAAAATCTTTTCTGACCCAATGGATGAGTTTCTACGTAAAGTGGAAAAGTACATCAATTACGAGAAGACACTTGACGATACAAGAAGAAGATCCTCCCTTTATATTTTGACGCTTTCGATTTGGAGGGTGTGATGGGCATGGTGATCCATCTTCTTTTTTTTTTTTGCTTTCATGGCAAGGAGTACACAAGTTATTAGTTGACAATGGAAGCTCGACAAACATAAATGTATTATGACATATTTTTGAAGCTCAGAGTTCCTTGATTGGATGTAATTTCACATATTGAGGATTTAAGGAAAAAAAAATAGGACAACACACAACACTAGTAGGGTATGTAAAGTTGTTGGCGACCTTTCAGGAATCCCAAACAAATCAAAACAGTTCCTGTTTAATTTTTGGTAATTAAATGCAACTCAACTTATAATATTTTTTGGGGAAACCATTTCCGAGTGCTCTTAGAGCAATGATATCCATTCTACATCTATTGATGAAGTTTTTAAACAACAACCTCAAGGTTACTTGGTCAACTTTAACCTCAACTCAAAACAACTCCTAAAAAACTAAATTCATAAGAATCCATGAATCCTTAGAGTTTTATAATAATTAAGCAACCAATCACATACTCATTTAATTAATAAAACTGCTAAACAACTCTAAAAGTTCACAATGTTACAAAAATAGGTGGAGACTCAAATTGTTTCAAAGAAAGACTAATGAATTTTTTGAAATATAATATTGATATTTTTGCATGGTTGTCATGCGACATGCTAGGTTTAGATCCTAATATTTTATGCACATAGACAAATAAATAGTGTTCATGAACTCATTTGATTCAAATTTGGAGTAAATTAAAGTCTGAACCAATTAATTTTAATTAATTTTGTTTGGATATGATGATTTATAAAAAAAATGTAATTCAAATCAATCAATAATGGATTGGTTTAATTTAGATCAATCAATTTAAAAAAAAGTCAAATAATTTTTTAAAGCATTAAAGATATATTATTTTATCACAAAGTTTTAATGAAAACTTATTAATAAAAAACATAAGTAACATTCAAATGTAAATAAAAAAAGTAATATAAAAAATATGAAAGTATAATATTCTAACATAGCACAAGATTTAAAATCAATGTATTCCAATATTTAAAGTGAAGTGAGTGTTGAATAAGTAATAAAATAGTAATATTATAAAATAATAATTATAAAAGAACTATTGTAGTACTGTTGAGTGTTAGTACGATATATATAGTGCTTAATAATAATAATAATAATAATAAACCAACTTAATTGATTTTAAACCGTATATTTTTATTTGTTCAAACCAACAAATACGATCTACTAAAAAAAATTGAGTATCATAGAGGAGGTAGAAAACAAGTGACAAAAATAAATATATATATATATATATATATATATATATTTGAACAGCCATAGCCCGATAGATTTATATTCACTCCACAATCTCTATATTTATATTGATAAGCTTGTGGATATGGTTCATTTGGTTATCACTTTCTGTCCATTTTAATTACCTTTTCGAATCACCAAAACTGCTGGGTTAATTTATTTTATATTTTTTTACAAGATGGAGACGGTAAAAAAACAAATAGATAGATATAAAATAAAAAATTAAGATGAAACTATGAAAGGAATGAGGTAGGAGACTGATTCTACCCTTTTCTTGAGTGAGTCAGATCCTTGAATCTCGTCCAGAACACTCCACCACCCTCCACGACGTGGAACACGCGTCCGCATCCTCTCGACGTCACGGCACGTGTCACGCCCCCAAGCTTCGACGGAGCCCTATAAATAAGTAACCCCTGAAAGAAACGAAGAAGAAGAAAAAGAGAACACGTTACGTTACGTTGAGAAAACCAACCATGGCTAGTGATGGCAGTGAAGAGTTCAGGCTGGTGTCCCCTTCGATCAGCCACGAGGGGAAGCTACCGCGGCAATACTCGGACGAGGGTCAAGGGGCGAAGAAGAACATATCCCCACCGCTGGAGTGGTACAACCTCCCGCAGGGGACCAAGACCCTCGCCGTCGTGGTCGAGGACATCGACGCCCCCGACCCGGAGGGCCCCATCGTGCCCTGGACGCACTGGGTGGTGGTCAACATCCCCGCCACGGTGAAGGGGCTGCCGGAGGGCTTCTCCGGGAAGGAGGAGGAGATGGGTGGGGACTACAAGGGGATCAAGGAAGGGAACAATGACTGGAAGGTTCCCGGCTGGCGTGGCCCCAGGTTGCCCACGCATGGTCATAGGCTTCAGTTCAAGCTCTATGCTTTGGATGACGAGCTTCACCTTGGTAACAAGGTATGTCTCCATGCATCTGCATGTTTATGTTTCCACTTTCACGACTTTTCTTTATATAACAAAAATACTATATATCAACCATATATGATTGAATATTAAATGAATGATTTGGTGCCTTGATTGAAGGTGACGAAGGAAAAGTTGTTGGAAGGAGGCATGGACGGCCATGTTCTAGGAGAATCCAGCTTCATTGCTATATTTTAATATGATGCATGGGTGCATTGTCTTTGACTTATATATATACACGTGTACCATTTTGAAATCTCACGTCAATGAGAAACATTTTATCATTTGACCTCTGTTGTCTCCTCCTTTTGAGGATATAGCTTGTTTATCATAACTTTTAAGTTACATGCTAATTAACCATGTTATTATGCATGCATTTCCGACGATCAACCAATAGTATAAATCTTCTAAGATATAGAAGTGTTTCAAAATTGGAAAAGTTTCGCAATTGTTTTGAATAGTTGTTCCGAATAATAGAGAGTATGTCAAAGTCTCTGTAAAGTTACAGTTACAAAGAGGCACCCAATGGTCTCAGAATTGTATTAGTACAAATCTACTAATTAATATGGGTGTGTGCAGAAATGAGTTCTGAAAATGTTTTTTTTTTGTTTTTGTTACATTTCAATTAGTTTTTTATTTTTAAATTCTTGTCATATCATATGATATTTTGGTCTTGATCTTCAAAATTTTTACTCTAAATTTAATTTTATAATCTTTAAAATTAAGAAAAATGCTGGCGTGGAATATGGGTAGTATTACTTTGATAGATAGTATTTAAAATTACAAAATTATTTAAAAAATTATAAGTTTTATTAGAATAAAAAGAAACATAAGTTGACGGATTTTTAATATTTGAAAAATTGATAATATTAAAAAAATAATAAATTATTCAAACAAATTATGAATTTTAATTAGAAATAAAAAAGAAACATTTCGTATCTTCATTAAGAAGTTATGTTATTTTGTATCTGGAAGTTAACATGGTTGGGTAGAACATTTTTTAGTTTAATTTTGGCTCCTATGTTCATAGGAGAAACATTGATTAATTTTGAAAAATGGTTAGTTTTAGAACGTAGAGAAATTAACTTTCTAATAGAAAATTTAGAAATCAACATTATGTATTGTCAAAATTATAGATATTTACATTTAATTTTTTAATATTTAGAAACCTTATCTGAATATGACCATTTATGATACATTTTTGGGTTAAACATTTTTTTTTTTTACTTTTTTCTTATACATCAGGATGGATCTTTTGTAGTGTAAACATTTTGCAGGATAAATCTGTTGATTTATCCCACGTGGATAAGTGTTGTAAAATATTCTTATTTTTTTATAATATTAAAATTAGCTTTTTTTTTCTCGCACGTGTGTATGTGTTATCGAAATATTTTTATTTTTATTATATTAAAATTATTTTTTTACTAAATTCTTTTATTTTTTGTAATTTACAATTTTAATTTTTAATTTTAAAATAAAAATATTTAGTTTTTTGATTCTAAAAATATAGTATAATATATGATTTTTTTTGTCAAATGTAACATCTAAACTTCTGCATTTTTTTTATGCATAAGATTTTTTTTAAGTATGTCGAACTAATATTTGGTTGATATAGTTATATTGTGGAATGATAATTCTTAAAGGTTGAAATAATAACAATAATAATAATTTATATATATATATAATTTATTTTTGTATACAAATTATTATAGATAATATTTAATTTTTACATTAAGAATTTTAAATTTAATAATTGGATCGTTGATTTATTTTTAATGGATAGATTTATTTTTAATGTAAGCAGATTTTTTCCTTCTTGCTTTTTCTCTTTTTATATATATATTTTTTCTCTCTTTTATATATATATATATA